TGCCAGCTTTTCGCAGGTTTTCCGCACAGCATCCCCATTTTCGATCTCAGAATTTGATGCAAAAAAGTAGATCCTGAAACTTAAGAATTTGGTACCTTATACAAGCCATATATTCATCAGGCAGAACGTGCAATATGCTGTGGCTAAAAAGAGTTTTCGGGGATTAAGACGTCTAAAATATTTGCGTTATGAGTGAAACATGTCATAGAAAAAAAAAAACGCTTTCTAACGTAGCGTACGAAATTTACTTTTGAGAAATTTTCATTTAACTTTTTTACAGGAATTATGCGTTGGAAACATTATGCAAAATGTCGGTGATTGAACACAATGTGGATCTTTTGCTCTCTACCGGCCCGTGGTCACGATTCGAAAAATTCGTCAAAATACTAGTTGAACTGCTTGCACTGAGTGAAGATATACCAAGCAGGTTTGTTTAATTCAATTTTTTAATTTAATTTATTTTTTAAAAAGTTAATTTGAAATTAGTTTTCATAAAATTAGTTTAGAACAATTTCAGTTTTGCTCCGGTTTTCTGGTTTCGTTTGAGTTTAATTTAATTAATTTAATTTTGGTTCAATGGCTTAATTTAATAATAAACTTAATTTAAACTTGAGTTTAAAAAAACAAAATTTAATTTAATTTCTCATTCCCGAAACATTTCGAAGGCTTAAAAAATGAGGGGAAGAGGAAGAGCTGCGTGCTTTCTGGAAAACAGCCCAATTCACGTTTTAGATGCTTTGTTGTTATAGGTATCTGAGGCCCCTGAATATGAGCGGTGTTTTGCAAATAGCTGGGTGCTGTACGAATCTGAACCGCAAAAATAACTTACCATGGGACACCCAACTAAGTTAATTGTGGTAGAACCAACACTTTGTTTTGCATATTGCAACTTATCTGTATGATATTTAGGGAATTTGCAATCGTGATCCTACACGCATTGTGCTCGGCATCCGATCAGGTCTGTTACGTGGTAGCAGCGGAATCACCAGCGATTGACAATTTGGTTGCATTCCTAGAAATGGGTGATGCTAATATGCACCAAGTTCGTTCTGCAGTACTTTTTTGATTATATTTTTCATTTTCTAGTGCCATTTAAGTTAAAGTGGAGTTCCACCACAACTTCATTGATCCTCATTTTTTTATGCGTTCTGTGCTGTGTAACAGCAGTACAAAACGCACAATCCCCTGACCCGCAGCAGTTTGCCCGCAACTTTCAACTCGGGAACCACAAAAGCTAGGAGGCTGAAAATTTAGGGGAACGTTCCCCACCCACGTATGACCCCGCAAATTTAAATTCAACTTCTCCGTATCCGCAGGTAACACATATGGCCCCGTGAAAGTTTTTTCCCAGTAAATTAATATCTCGGGAACGACGGAGTCTAAAAGGCTGAAATTTTAGGGTAATGACTCTCTGCCCACGCTCAACCTTGCCTAATCAAATTCAGCGTTCCCGCGCTTCTGAGTATCACCTACAGCTTCGTGAAAACTTCGGCGGGTAAACTGTTAACTCCGGATAAAAATATTCACCCTTCAAGGTTTGGAATTCAGCTTTCATGCGCTGGTGCGTGAAATTTTTAACTCTCTTCCACTGTTTGAACTACTTTGCATAGACTAAAGTACAAAGCAGTGAAAATAATTAATAGGCAATCGTCCGATGGGCTGGATTGCACAAAACGCATGATCGCATCGGCTAGTCTGGTGCGCGTTGCTATTTATTGAGCTTCTTGCTGCGTCTTTCACATGGACCCATATTTAATGGGTGAATTCCGCTTTGAGGAGGATTCGCAGTTGGTTCTGCAGCTGTGCAGATGCTGGGTTGATGCTAAGGGACTCGTCGATCACCCCGGTGCTCCAGCTTATCGAGTTGGGTCATCGACTCCTTGGCGATAGTTCAGGTTGGTTGGGTCCGTGTTCGTGAATCGTCTCTGCCGCCTCCACAGTACCGCAACACCACACTGGATCGACCCCTGCTCTTCAATACTGACACAGCGACCTTATATAGACCGCTTCGCTCCATTACATGACCTACCTGGGAGAGAGTTATGATGCAACACAGCTGACAACTTTTCCATTTTTTACACTGCCTGATGCTTAGGTTGCTGGCATTTAGCAGATTGCTGGCACTTTGCTCGGCGACGGACTTTTAAAGTCTTCTTAACTCCAGAGAAACTTGATCATAATAAAAATTACTGTTTGGTTTAAAAAAGATGAAGTTGAACGGGGCTTAAAAAGAAGCATAATTTTCAGATTGCGCAACAGCACGGTATCCAAGCGCTTCGGGAAAATCCAGAAGTGATGGGAACATCGGTTCCAATGTTGAGGCGCTCCGCATCAATACTGCAGCAGCTATGCAGGGTACCAACTTGTCGGCGATTTTTCAGGCGACACCAACTAAGGTTGCTGCAGTTCACCATGTCGCATCTGGTAAAGACTTTGTTTGTATCAAAAATACTAATCTGATTATCGCATGACTGTAGCATGAAAATAATATGAAGAACGTAGAAAAGAAGGCAAGAATAGAATGAACTATGTGATGCAAGAGGTAGAAATATTGAAGCCACACGAACTGTCATTATAAACGTAATAAAATAATAAAAATATTTTAATGTTGGAAGAAGGAAACTAGTGGTGTTAAGAAATTAATGAAACTTGAAGTGTTTTGTGGAATATTTTATAACGACAAGAAATGTTTCGGTCCATTAAGTCGTATACATTTTAGTAATAGTATAAGTTGTATACATTTAAATCGTATACATTACAAGTCATATGCATTTTATTTTTATAATGTTTCGGTCCATTAAGTCGTATACATTTTAGTAATGTTACTAAGATGAGAAATATTCCATTTTAATAATGTTACTGAGATGCTGCACAGGTCGGGCGCAACTGTGCTAAACCCTCAATACTGAGCTGCACGGAACTCCATTCATATGGCGTAGAAATATCAATATATATGTTTTAGGTTGGCCTGAAAAATCGCCACTGTATACTTATCAGCGATTTAATTTCACTTGGATAGATATATACTTAATCAGGATACTTGAAACAACTATATTTCGCTGTTTTAGAACTGCTATTAGTGGTCACCTTGCTGGCGATCTTGGCCTTCCCTTTCGCCTGTCTTAAAGAAATTACCACCCTGACAAGCATAGTCTCTTAGCAAGCGTAGATCTTTAGTTCTGTCATCCTCGAAACACATGAGTTCTTGTCAAAAGTGGTCACGTATTTTACCCAAATGCACTTGGGCACACACACACACACACACACACACACACACACACACACA